CCCCCCCCCCCCCGCTAGACCCCCCCAAATATAAAAAAATTCCCATAAATTTGCCCAAATTCCCCACAATTCCCTTAATTTCCCTAAATTATTCTTTTTGTCCCCCTCCAAGACCAGGTGCCTCCCCTGGATCTCAGGGACACCCCTAGGAATTTGGAGGGGGTCTCTCCTCCCCTGCCACCTCCAAAAACCCACCACTTTTGGGGAAAAAAAAACAAACCAAAATCCCTTGGATTCAAGGGGGAGTTCCCCAATTTTTAATGTATTTTTTGGGCATTCCTTCCAAATTTTTCAGGGTTTTTTAAATTTTTTTTCCATTTTTTGATGGTTTTGGCATTTTTCAAAATGAGCTTTTTGGGGGGGGTTCCCCCAATTTTTTTGGGAGGGGGTACTCAGTTTTTTTCTGGGGGTTCACCCTCTCCCTCAGTATTTCCTCTGTCCTCCTCCCCTCAAACTGGGGTGAGAGAGTATTTTTTTTCTTTTTTTTCTGGTTTTGCTTTAATTTTTACCTTTTTACCGCCCTTTTTTTTGTTTTTTCCTCTTTTTATTTATTTGCACTTAATTTAGGGTGCTGAGGGGCAGGAATTTTGGGTTGGGGTTGCCTGGGGGGACAGGAAAAGTTGGGGAGACCTCCCTCCCTGAAAAAAAATAGGAAAAATCCTGGGAATTCTGGTATTTCTCCCCTCTCCCAAGGTGTGAAAAATGTGAAAAAAATTATGCTCTCAGATTTTTGTTGATTTTGGGGGACAGTGTTGCAATTTTGGTGGGGGTTTGGGGAAGGGTTGTTGTTTTTTGGGGGGTTCTCCCAGGTTTTGGGGTGGAATTGGAGAAATTTGAGAGTCTGGGGGGAAATTTGGGGTGTTGGGGGGAAATTTTGGAGGTCCTGGGGGAAATTTCGTGATTTTAGGGCAGGAATTTTAGGATTTTTTTCTAACATTTGGGTGTTTGGGCGGGAAATTTGGGGTGTTGGGGAGAACTTTGGGGTTTTTAGGGAGAGGATTTGGGGTTTGGGGAAAAAATTGGGGATTTGGGGGGGAAAATTTGGTGGTTTTTGGGGGGAAATTCAGGGGTCCTGGTGGAGTTCTGATTTTGGGAAGGGGATTTGGGGAGGATTTTTTGTGTTTTGGGGTTTTGGGGGGAAATTCAGGGGTCCTGGTGGAGTTCTGATTTTGGGAAGGGGATTTGGGGAGGATTTTTTGTGTTTTGGGGGAATTTCCATTGATGGGGAGGGGTCCTGATCCCAGTGAGGAGGGGCATTTTGGGGAGGGGTCTCAGGGAGGATTCCCGATTTTGGAGTGAGATTTGGGGGATTTTCCAGCAATGGGGAGCTGTCTTGGGGGTGGGATTTGGGGAAGGGTCTCATCAGATCACCATCCTGAGCTGGAAGTGGGGGGATGTTGGGAGTGGAATTTGGGGAGCGTAATAAATGGAAATGATTTGTGCTAACTAAAGTGTAACTATTTGGAAAGTTATTATTTGAAGCAATCAAGGGAATTGGTGTTACAAGGCAGATGTACCCCTTTGCAGATGTTACATGTTGAAATTAAGGTACAGGATGTAGTTTTGAGATAAGTGATGTCCCAAGACAAAATCAACCTTGAGATGGATAAAGCTGGAACAACTTTAGGCATAGGGCCTGAAAATTATGAAGTGTAAGACTAATTTATGGAGCACAATGCTCACATAACACAACACTTAGTATCCAGAGGACAATGAGGATGAGTGTAAGCCTTCATCCAAAATACCTCCAAAAGGAGACTGAAGACCCCCTAGCAACAAGTGAGGCTTGCGCCATGAAGAGTAGTGATGTAAAATTAAAGAATCAAAAATAGGAGGAGACTTAGGGGAAACATTAATGAATATGTACAAGCATACAGTATATAAGTTTAGTTTGAATTGCTTTGTTTTGGTATGTGAGGCAGGGTGAGAAGTCCTGCCCATACCCCAGTCAGTTTTGCTCATGCTTTAATCATACTCAATTACTGGCAAATTATATTCATATATATATATATGAAGATATTCACTAAATTGTACTCTTTTACTGAATTGTTTTCCTTTTATACCAGATTTCTATTCAATCCACTAAATAGTATTATTTTATTAAATTGTATCCTTGTATTCAATTCACTAAATTGTATTGTTTTTTCCCTTGTTATTTAATTGCTGTTAACTCAATAGATCTAGTTGTCTGATTTTAATTTCATTTACAACAGCACCAAGAAGAAAAGGGGCTTACTGAGAGCAAGCAAACTTAATTCTCTGCCAGGACACAAATTTAGAGGGCAAAAAATTAAAAAACCCCACAGCATCAGCCCAGCTTCCCAGTGAGAAGGGTTGGAATTCTCTGCCCCTCAACACTTCCTCTTGGGGGTGAGGTGTCCTTTATTTTTTGTTCTGGCTCGCCGGTGGAATTTTTACCCATTAGTTGCGGAGACAACCTAACCGTGGGTACTTGGTGGGTGATTGGCAAAAGACAAAGAGTTTGGCTGGGCCCAGGGGGGGAAGGGGGCAGGAAAAAAAGGAGGGTGGGGACAGTTTGGCGGGCTTTCTTCAGCTTCAGGGAAGAACAATTTGGGCTCGGAGCTGTTGCAGTGGGGAGAAGGGAATTTCGCCATCACCCAGATGAAGCTGCTGCTTCTTCTCCTTTCCTCTTTGTTGGTGGCCTCACACCCCCTGTCCTGCTGGGACGTGTGGCAGTGCCAGGCACCGCCGCAGAGCTGCTGATCCACCTCAGCCACCAGCCCAGGATCTCAGCTCATCCCTGCTGTTCCGGCTGAGTGTTCCTCAGAACCCTGCAGGAGCACCGGGGCTGCCCAGCAGCTTTACAAAGGTAACTGGGATCTAAGCTGTGCCCTCCAAACCAACAGAGCCAGCCTCCCTTCAGGGCGAGAAGCCACAGCCTCAGTTCTAGCCCTGGATGCTTCCTGTGCCCCAGAGAATGGCCATGGCTGTAAATGTGTGTTTGGCTGCAGCACAGGGCCAGGGTGAAGCTCGGCAGCCTCATCAGAGCCCACGGCCACGGCCCTTCCCTGCCGGGGCCCTCACCTGGCCCAGCCCAGGCTGGCCCGAGCAGCCCGGACTGGCCTCAAGGGATGGGCTCCACCTGCCCGCTGTGCCCACAGGCCAGGCCCAAGGGCTCGCAAGAATCTTCCTCCCAGCTCTGCAAAACCTCAGCCAAGAGAGTGCCCTTTGCTGCGCTGAGAAGAGTAAAAAACCCTCTCAATTTAACCCCACTGCACTCCTCATGGGGGATCCCTGCACACCTCAGGAAAGAGCCCAAATTTGCCCTGAATGCTTCAGGAGGTGCAGGCCCAGGTGGTGCCACTGAAGGAAATGTGCCCTCACAGCACAGGGACGCTTAGCATGGGCTCCCCCTGCCCCTCGGGGCCCCACCGCTGGTCACGGCAGCCCCTGCCTGGCTCCTGCCTGCCCACACCATGGTCAGCCCTGGCTGCTCCTGGACATGGAGCTCAGCCAGGGCTGGTGCCATGTGGACTTTGCTGGTGGTACCAGCTGGACACTGGGGTGACAGCTCCATCTCTTTATTTGAACAAAAATCTTGGGCCAACCCCTGCTCTGGTGGACAGGGGTTGCCCAATTTCAGTCCTGGCCAGGGACCAGGGCCAGGGGGCTCAGGAGCAGAGGGTCTCGCTTGGGAGGTGTGAGTCTTGGGATGCCCTCAAGACGGGGATGCAGATGCAGCTTGGCACATGGGGACAGATATGAAGAGCGAGGATAACAGATGCAACTTCTCAGAGACTGGAATCTTTCGCCAGTCTTGTGAAGCTGCAGAGGCACTCCTGTGGAGAGAAGAGGTGGCTGAGGCCCCCAGCTGCCACTGGCACACAGGGACCCTCCTGCACAGCAGGGCCCAGAGCGGCCAAGGCTCCCCAGCATGGCTGGAGCTGCTGGCACAGCTTGGCCCAGCTGGACAGCTGCCCCTCAAGGCCCCGGCGAGCAGGGGATGGCTCTGGGCAGGGTCCCTGGCCAGGAGCGGGCCCCAGAGCACCTCTGCCTTTCAAGGGCAATCTCATCCCCGCTCTTTCTCCTGCCCACCTTGCTTTGCCTCTGCTCACTGCTCCTGGGGCTGCTCTTGGCCAGGCAGCCTCAGTGGGAGCCAGCACTGGCTGCAGTGCCAGTGGGCTCCCCAGGACACGGCCCAGCAATTAAGAGGCCAATGAAAGGCCTGGGCAGCAGCAGAACTCTCGGCAGAGTTATTTGGGCAACCAAGGACTATCCACAAGTCTACAGCAGCCTCACTCGGAATGTTTCCTGACTATAAGCAGCCTTTCAAGAAGCTGTTTGAGGGTGGGGATGAACAACTTACAGTTTCTGGTCCTTCCAGCACCGGAATCCAACACAGCACAGGACGATGGAAAGGGGCACTGCGAACAGTATCACTACAGTGCCTATCATGCAGGACTTGCGCACATCCTGCGTGCAGAACACTCTTGGTGTGCTTGGTGGATTCTCAGCATTTATATTGGACTTGCCAAGAGCATCTGTGGGAGCAATGGGCAGTGTGAGCCTGTGCTGTGCTCCACTGCTGAGCTGGCAGCACACTGGATATGGCCAGGACATTCTCTGTTTCCCCCAGATCTGGGGCCTGCAAGCACCTTGCCGGCCCTTGGCACAGGCTGTGACACCAAACAAAGCCCAGAAGGCCGGGAGCAGAGGCCAGGGACTGCGCAGCTGCTTGGGCAGTGGCTCCTTCCAGGGACAGGGGCCAAACCCATCTCTGAGCAGCCACTGCCCCCCCTGACCCTCCCTGCTCTGTGACAGCTCCCCCAGCCCAAGGGGACAGAGCCAGGCCCTGTCAGGGACCAGTGCAGCCCCTTCCCAGTTGGGAGCCAGGGCTGGCTGTAGCCCTGGGCTCACAGCAGGGCTCCCACTCGGGGCTGCTCCTGTGCCTTGGGCCTCTGGATGCTTAGGGCCAGCTCCAGGAGCAGCAGCAGTGGGATGGATGTTGGTGCAAGAGTCCCAATTCCCAGGGGCTGGGAATGAGCTCCAGAGGCCTGGAAGCCGCGGCACCTCCAGCTTTGGCTGCTGCCGGGCCGTGCAAGGGCAGGCCCCGAGGGAAGAGCAGCTGGCACACAGCCCTCCCGCAGAGGGCTGAGCCCAGAGCAGCAATTACCTCCGGTGTCTGGGCCTCGCATCTCTTCCTTTCCTGCATCAGGAGCTGGCACAGAGACATTGCGTCCTCTAGCATATGCCATCATCTGCACAGACACTTGCTCCAGCACTTGAGAAAGGAAAAGGGACAGCTGGATAAGATAGATCTGTTTGCCATTAGGGGAGGTTGTATCTTCAGGCGGCAATACTTGTCAAAGCCATGGATAACACTCAGGTTATTTGGGCTGGGCCAGGGCCCTCCCTCCTCCAAACAGCTCCTACACCTGATCTAGCCAAGACTGGGAAATTGCAGGGGATCTCAGGCTGTTTATGACCCTTGCTGCAGTTTGGGCTCCCTGTCAGCTGATGTCAAATGCCTTCCTGCAGAGGCTGGGGAGAACCTGCAGCCAGGCCAGGCTGAGAAACAGCCCTGCAGGCCATGAAAGCAGCAGCAGGGCTGTGAGGCTGACATGGATCCCTTCCTGCTGTGCCAGGCACGGGCTGCTGAGTCTCAGGAGGAAACTGAGGGACATGAACCCACCACGGTGTCTCTCCAGATCACTCAGCATCTTGTCCAGAAGTTGGGATGCCTCTAGGGATTTCTTGTCTTCTATATCTTGGTTCTTCCATCTTGGAGGACCTTAATGGAAAGTAGTTACATTTCTCCTTCAGTCCAGAGTGGCAGTGAGTGCACCTGGGTGACTGGTGCCCTCCAAGGCACTCCCTCATCTCTGCCTTCCACTCAGGAGCAGGGACAGGGGGACCACATACCTGCAGAGTCCCCACACTGGGATAGAAGAATCCCCTTGCATGGCAGTCAGGGGAGAAAAGACTCCCTGGAGATGCCAGCAGCTCTGAACTGAGCCCCAGGCTGGGCCAGGGCTTGGCAGCAGCAACGGGAGCAGCTCAGGCTCCGTGGGGCTGGCAAAGGAGCCGCACAAGGCACAGCCCCGGGGCACAGCCCCTTCCCTCTCTGCTCTTCTCTGTGGCTGCACAGAGCACACAGAAGGAGACACTGGCATTGCACATGGGAAGAAGATTGACAGCTAAATGCTCCTTCCTCCCACTGACAGCAATGCTGTGGGATCACTCAGGGCTCCAGAAGGGAGCAGGGCGAGGTTTCCAGAATCCATCAACCTTCAGAATCTTAAGTGAAGTGGCACGTAAGTTCGTGCCACACTCACACTGATTATTCTGTGGAGAAAGGGACATTGAGAACTTACCTCCAGCATTCTCCATGGATCTCAAACCATTATGTCCCAGGGCTTTCAGATGCTCCATGTCACGATCCCAATCTAGAAGGGAGCACAGATCAGAACCATTCCATGGTGTGCTGGGATCCCCTTCTGCCTTAGGGAAGTGGGCACTGCAAGGGGGTCAGGGGAAGGCCGTGGGAGCCAGATGTCAATGGACATGGCCAAAGCTGTGGAGGGGCCTGAGGAAAGCTCTGGGCTGGCTCTGGACATTCTCAACACCTTTTCCATGCTCTGTGCAACATCCCTGAAAGACAGGCACTGCCAAGCAGAAGAGATGTACAGCTTAAGCCTCAGGAGGGCTCAGGCCCAGACACACAGCAATTACCTCCTGGGACTGTGCCTGGCATGGCCTCCCTTCCTGCAGCAGAGGCTGCCCATGGGCCACTGCTTCCTCTGGAAAACGCTGCCTTCATCACAGCCTTTCGGTTCATCTCTGGAGGAAAGAACCACAGATGGAACCATTCATCTTTCAGGGAAGTGGTATCATCATGAGGCGATACTAGTCGAGGTCATGGATAAGGATTAGGAAATCATATAAATTTATGGGATTGGCCAGAGCCCTCCCTCCTCCTAACAACCCCTGAACCTGATCTACTCCAAGACCAGGAAATTTCAGCGGATCTCAGAGTGTGCATGGCCCATGCTGCAGTTTGGGCTCCCTGTCAGCTGATGCCAAATGCCTTCCTGCAGAGGCTGGGGAGAACCTGCAGCCAGGCCAGGCTGAGAAACAGCCCTGCAGGCCATGAAAGCAGCAGTGGAGCAGCGAAGCTGCCATGGATCTGCTTTCTGCTGTGCCGGGCACGGCGTGTCCTGATGTGCAGAGAAAGCCCCTGGCTGCTGAGTCTCAAGAGCATGAGAGACATGGAGCCACCTTGTCCTCCCTGCAGCATTTCCTTCAGCATTTGCTGCATGGTATTGGACGGCTCATGGGGTTTCCGGTGTCCTGTAGCTTTGTTCTTTCCTCTTGGAGGACCTTATAAAGATATATATATATCCATTTCCCAGGAATGGATCCTACAAAATCCGGGTTCAGCCTGTGGGATCAGCAAGGACACAATACTCACCCCTGCGACGGGAGCTGGGCTTGCGTGCAGCATCCAGCCCAGGAGCCTGGAAAGTCCTCCCTGCAGACACACCTGTAACTCAACAGCCACAGAAGCTTCAGTCATCTCTGCTGAACTCCACAGGCAGCACTGAGCCGCAGGAGCGGTGAGGGGATCACGCAGGGTGAGGGCACACATGTGCACGGCTCTGTCCTGACACCTGCAACGATGCTGCCCTGGCCGAGCTTTGGGCTCTGAGCTGGCAGCTCTCCCAGGGGGAAAGGCCTTCACCTACCCTCACCATCTTCCAGAGCCTCAGTCCTGGACGTGGGTTGGGAAGCCAGATCACCTTCATCGAGAAGCTTGACTGCAAAGAAAGGTAGGACAGAAGAGCTCCTGTGGCTCTGTAGGAGATCCTCAGGCTCCCTGGGGCCAGCAAAGGAGCCACACGAGGCACAGCCCTGTGACACAGCCCTGGGCCTGGCCCCTTCCCTCTCTGCTCTTCTCCGTGGCTGCACAGAGCACACGGAAGGAGACACTGGCATTGCACATGGGAAGAAGATTGACAGCTAAATTCTCCTTCCTCCCACTGACAGCAATGCTGTGGGATCACTCAAGGCTCTAGAAGGGAGCAGGGCGAGGTTTCCAGAATCCGTCAACCTTCAGACTCTTAAGTGAAGTGGCACGTGAGTGAGTTCTTGCCACAACAATGATTATTCTGTGCAAACTGAGACATTGAGAACTTACCTCCAGCATTCTCCATGGATCTCAAACCGTCATGTCCCAGGGCTTTCAGATACTTCATGTCATGATCCCAATCTAGAAGGGAGCACAGATCAGAACCATTCCATGGTGTGCTGGGATCCCCTCCTGCCTTAGGGAACTGGGCACTGCAAGGGGGTCAGGGGAAGGCCATGGGAGCCAGATGTCAATGGACATGGCCAAAGCTGTGGAGGGGCCTGAGGAAAGCTCTGGGCTGGCTCTGGTCACTCTCCACCCACTTTGCAGGCCCTGTGCAACATCCCTGGAGGGGCAGCAGGATCTGCCCAGGGCCCTTGAGGACTCTCTCCCTCTCACAGAGGAAACCCTCCCTAAAGCCCTGGGGAAAACCATCCCCAATGCTTCCCAGGGAGAAGGAAGTGCTATACCTGGAAAGGGGACCGAGGCCGCCGGCTCACCTGCTCCCTGTGCTCGCCACGGAGCAGCCTGGGCAGCCCTGTCAGTCAGGGCCACTGCCAGGAGGAGCAGGAGGAGGAGGTGCAGAGCAAAGGCCATGGTGCCTTGCCCACTGCCAGTCCTGCAGCTCTTGCCGCCACCACTGTCCTGACACCGCTGTCCCAATGTCAGCACCGCTCCTGCCGCCACCGCTGCTGCCACAACAGTCGTGGTCAAGGACTGACTGCTCGGTCCTTGTGGTGCTGGGCAACCACGGGGCTCTGAGACCTCTGTGACCTCAGAGCCTGCTGTCACCTCAGCCTGCTGTCACCCCACAGGCTGCTGTGACCTCATGGCCAGGGTGGAATTGTGTGGGGAGTGGGATCTGCCTTCTTCACTAGGGAGCTCATCCTGCCCAGCAGCTCTGTCCAAGGGCTATGACACGGTCCCAGCCCAGCTGATCTCACAGGCTGGGGGATGAAGGGATGGAGAGCAGCCCTGCTCAGAAGGACTTGTGGCTGCTGCAAGGTGAGAGGCTGGACATGAGCCAGCCATGTGCCTCCAAAGGAGGGTGCCCAGCAGCTTGAAGGAGGTCATTCCACCACCCCTCTGCTCTGGTGCGAGCCCACCTGGAGTACTGCATCCACCTCTGGGTGCCCAACACAGAAAGGACATGGTCCTGTTGGAGCTGGTGCAGAGGAGGGACAAAATGCTCTGAGGGCTGGAGCCCCCCTGCTTTGGAGACAGGCTGGGATAGCTGGGGTGTTCAGCCTGGAAGAGAGAAGGCTCCACAGAGACCAAATTGCTACCTTTCAGTACTTTAAGGGGGCTTGTAAAAAAGACAGGACAGAATTTTTAGTAAGGCCTGTTGTGATAAGACTGAGGGGGAATGTTTTCAATCTAAAAGACAGTAGATTTGGACTAGACATAAAGAAGTTTTTTACACTGTGGATTTTGAAACCCTGGCACAGGTTGCCCAGAGAGGTGAGCATCCATCCCTGCTGACATTCAAGCTCCTGCTCTGAGCAACCTGATCTAAAGGTGTCCCTGCTCACTGCACTAGATGGCCTTTAAATGTCCCTTCCAAGCCAAGCCATTCTGTGTTCCTGTGCACCATCAAAGCAGTGCTGGAATAATGCTGGGGTGATGACACTGGCACCTATGTTCTGGTAGTTGTGCCATTTAACTATTGGCCAAGAGAGGATTGATGGGCTGCACAGTGAAGTCTGCAAAGAACAGTGTGCTCAAGGAGAAACAGGAGAGGAACATGGATTCCAGTTCAGATAAACGCCAGCATTTTGCTGCCCATTCCTTGTAAAGAAATAAAGGAATGTTCTGAAGATCCCTTCAATGTGGGTGCACTACTGGCTGTATCAGTACTTGTGTTCTGTAAAACAGGTGGGTTGTTACAGTTTCTTGCCCCATTTATCACTGGATAAAACCCAAATACTGCATTGCTCCATGTCTACTTTCTTCCAAGTAAAGGCAGATTTTGCTCATTCTTGAGTGGAACATATTCATCTGCTGACAAGCAAATTCTTCTTGCCATTCACACCACGTTGATTTGCTCTAATCGGATTGTAATTAAGATCTATCATTCATTGTAATTAAGGCTGATGGATTGTGAGGCAAAGTGTTGCATCATTTGCCCTGGAGAGAGTTTTTCTCAAATGACATATGAAGACAGGTGTAGCCTACCATACTTCTGGCATTAGTCTCCCACTCTGTCCTTTCCTCTCACCCAAGGGGGGGATCGAGGTCTGCAGGTCTCATCTGTGCACAGAAAGTTAATATTTCACCCACACCTGCAGATGGTCATGATGGTTTCTGCCGGGCAGTGGCCAAAGCAGTCACGGTGATGGATTTCAGGCCATGTTGGGGCTGTGCCAAGATCTCAGGGGCCCGGCCAGAACAGTCGGGGCCGTTTGTGGGTGCGGAGGAGCCCGCCGAGCCCGAGATCCTGGCTCTCCCCTAGAGACAGGAGACTTCTCTGTAAGAGAGACACAACGTATCGCTCCCAGGGGTCTTTGAGTTAGATATGTTAAACTGTTGTGCTTCATTGGTGTTCCCCCCTGCTGTCCCACCCCGATACATGTATCTCAGGCTTCCCCCCGCCCCTTTCCCCTCCTATAAATATCCCCGGGTTTCCCCTGTTTCGGGAGATTTGCTGTTGCCGGCACCCTTCGCCGAAGCTCTGCCTGAATAAAGGTTTTGCTTAGCGGAACGCTGGACCAGCTTTCTCGTCCCTTCTTCCCGTGTTGCCTGCCTGCCGCCGCTGAGCTGAGCTGGAATCACTCGACCGGCCGAAGCTGCTCGCATGCGCTTCGCTCCAGCCCTTCTCAGGGCTGTTTCTCCAGAGAAGTCGCGGTGCTCCGGGCTTTCCGTCACCGCGGCAACTGACGCCGATCGCGGGGCATTCAAAGGAGCCCTGAAGAAGCATCCGCCCGCAGCTTTAACTGCGAGGCGAGCCACCGCTTGATCCGCCGCCCCTCGAGGAAGCCTTTCTTGCGTTCTAGCAAGAAGCGATCCAAGAGGCTGCGACCGGGACCCTCATCTGACCGTCTGGGGCAAGGAAAGCCCCTGAGGACCGGCCGCCAGGTGACCACGCACCCAGCAGCTTTTATTTCGCCCGCCGGCATCTGCCGAAGAGAAATTGTAAGTCGATCCCGTGAAGGGTTTTTTCGGGCTTTTTTCTTTTTTTCCTTTCTTTTCTGTTTCACTGCTGGGTGGGGAGTGAAAAAGGATGGGAAATCAGTCCTCTGTACGGAGACTGACCCCACCTGAGAGGGACTTTTATATCCAAGTTGTGAATACCCTAAAAGCGGGAAATTTTAAGTTTTCTAAAGGGGATTTAAAAATATTTATTCATTGGATTTTTAAACATTTTAAGATTAATTCAGATTCTGCTAAATCAGGAATTTTTTGGGATAATGTGGGAAGAAAGTTATATACAGTTCAAGCTAAAGGAGATTTTTTTGTTGCAAAGTTTTTTCCTGTGTTTCAAAATACTATTTTCTCATTGGAAAAAGAGGGAAAAAAAGAAGAGGGAGTTTTGGGTCCCCAGTTAAACCCCCCAACCCCGTCAGCCTCTCCGATTGTCCCCGAACCCTCGTCCCTATCTGAGAGCCAATCGGCGGGTGGACGTTGCCCCCGGGCACAGGGCTGCTGCCGTCTCCCTGACATCCCTCCACTGTCTTTCTACCCGTACCAGGGCGGCACTGGCCATGCCACTCTGGGTCTTTCCTCTGACCTCTCTCCTATGCCCTCACACCCGGTTGTGTCCCCCCCAGTTCCTACCGTTAGCACAGATGGCGCCGGCAGTGTGGCCAGCCCCGCCATTCTGTCTCACTCCCACCCCGGTTTTCCCGCCCTCGATGCCCAAAATGGCCACTTTCCCACCTCCACCCCTTCTCTTCCTGCCGTGTCCTGTTCCTCCTCCCCGCCACTGCGTCGTTGGGTGTAACCGCGTCAGGCCCCACCCCATCCATCGGGAAACCCCTCCCTGTCGCAGACCCCGCTCCTGTCCCTTTGTGCCGGGGCCCCGTCCCCAGCGGCACTCCCACTCCAGGGTCCCAGTGCCCCAGAGGTCGGGACGGCTCCGGCCGGAGCGGGGCCATCCCGGCCTCCCCACCTGGCCACAAAAGTGTCAGCTCTAGGCACCCGAGCTGGCCCCGTGCTGTCACCAAGTGCCCCCCATCTCCACTAGGGGATGAGAGCAATGACTCTTCTTATTCAGACTCTGAGTATGAAGACCACTGGACTGAGGTGCAGAGGGAAGCCACACGAGCGGGGAACTCAGCTCTGTCCCGGAAAATACTTGCGTTTCCTGTAATAATGAGGAGAGACAGGGCAGGGGCACAGGTTGCTGCATGGGAGTCCCTTCACTGTAGGGAACTGCAAGAACTTTGCAAAGCTGCCAAGGAACATGGCAGGGGTTCACATTTTTTTAAACACTTGCTAGAAGCCTCCTTCTCTGCCCACGTCATGGTCCCTCATGACATCAAGAATATTATGAACTGCCTTCTCTTCCCAGCAGAGTACATGTTGTGGGAGAGGCAGTGGAAGAAACATTTAAAGCAGTTGGCAGATGTTTATTCAAAAGATGCTAACAGACCTAATTTTACTTTAGAGCAATTAGCAGGAGAAGGTAATTTCCAAAAGCCCCGAGATCAGGCCCAGGATCTGCCTGAAGCAGCTTTACAAGATATAGCTAATGCTGCCAAGATATCTCTTTTTACCACCCCTGATGATAAAGTGCCAACGCAGTGCTTCACCAATATTAATCAAGGGGCAACTGAGTCTTTTATTAAATATATTGATAAGTTAAAAGTAGCCATTGAAAAGCAGATAGAGAGCCCTCAGGTGCAAAAGGAATCATTAGTAAAAATAGCAATGGCCAATGCTAATCAGGAGTGCAAAGCAGTTTTGCGAGCCCTCCCACTGGACCCCGAACCAATCATAGATCAGATGGTTGAAGCCTGCACCAAACACTCCTCTGCCTCAAGTGAGAATACAGTGGCACTTGCAGTGGCTAAAGGAGTGGCAGAGGGAATATCTGGAGCTTATGCTGCAGACCCCAACACAAATCGCTGTTTTAACTGCGGCGAGCCTGGACATTTTTTCAAAGACTGTCCGGAGAGACATTCTATACAACCACCAGCCCACCAATGGTTACCCAGACCAAACTGGCGTTCGGGAAATTTCAAGCAGAGCGTGGAATGGCCCTGCACTTCGACATCAAATCAAATGCCGCCCCGCTCCACCCCTCCTGCCAAACCCACCACCCTGCCTCCACGGGGACCCCGATATCAAGCCCAGCAGGTGGAGCACTTCAGATGGGAACCCGGCATCAACTGGTAACTAGACTCTTTTTACATATGGAGGGTGACTGTATTTACAAAATCCCCACAGGGAAACGTGGACCACCAGGCGGTCCCTCCAACATCTTAATATTTGGGGATCCAACCAACTCTCCAGGACAAATTCATACCATTCCTGAGGTTCAAACTATATACCCTGGAGATGAGATTTCCATCTCCCTGACCTGCATAGACCCTCCTTATTATTTAAAGGAACAGAATCCTGTGGCACAGGCCTTTTTACTTCCTAGTGACTACCCAGATCAGGTTCCCCTCAACCCCAGCGCTATGTGGACTCAGGTTGTGGGCTCCTGCAAACCCATTGTGGACTGCAGCCTATTTTGTTATGGGGAAAGGATTCAGCGTCCAGGAATGCTAGACACTGGAGCAGATGTTACAATCATCGCCCGCTCCAAG